GAGGGGGGTGGGGTGGGGGGGGACGATATTTTGGCAATCAAGTAGAGGACTGGAGGACACTATTGCGATATTTGTTAATTGTTTGAATGTCTGATAGTCTTGAGTATAGATTCAACTGCTTTTTGATTTGTGTTTCCCAAAGCAAGGTAATAGTGGTTAAATAATTAAAAATAACTGTCTGTTACTCCATTGGTAATCTACGTGCTAACAGTAATTAGATTTTTATTGTGGACGTTGGAGGAAATATAGTTCTTTGTTATCCAAGCTGGCTAGAGCAGGTGATGCCGTCAAACTAGATGTTTTGGCTCTCAGGGAAGACTTTAGAGGCAGTTAATATGGGATTTCTAACTGTGATAAAAATGACCGTAGTAGTATGATGGAGCGGCTTGGTCCTTGCACTCTGTCTTCTTGCATCTATGATAATTTGTTTTGAGGGAATATTGGATTTATCTGCTTCACAAAACATGGAGGTTACGTAGATTCCTAGATTGGTCAATATTCAGGCAGATAATTTAGTCAATTAAGAGGGTAGATCATAGATGCTCTCAAGTCATTTGAAGGAATTTTTTGTTCACATTTAGAAGTGATGGGTTTCTCATTTTTGTTGGTGAGTTCTTCTACTGTCTTTTATGGCCCCATCCCCCCTCCCTCTTCTTTCTTTCTTACTACCTTTATTCATTTGCTAATAGTATTTTCGTATGAAAACAGTAGTGGATAAGTTTTGAGAATATTCTTGCATGTGTCCCCTCCCCCCTTTTTTCTTCTATTTAGGAATGGCATAATTTGAGGGGAGTTGTATATAAAGTCCTTAGTTGCTACTTTTGTTTTAATATGTTGACCGCTAAAGCGAACTTTCAATCTTGTCATGGTTTAAAGTCTTGTGGCTAAATGTTTGTCGTCATGTATGAGTCACTAGTTATGGATAGCTGGAGGGGATTTTAAGAATGATTATGTTGAGGCAAAAAGGGGATTCATTTCTTAATATATGCTAACGTGCAGATATATAGAATTTTCTTTCTTTGTCGAGTGATTTAGGAAGAAGTGGGTGAAGGGGAATAACACGGAAAGAACGGCATGGAAAAGTACTATACTCTAATCAACTTGACAAAGCAATTACCCGAACTTCTTGGGTCGGCCACCTAAGTCGAATTTTTCTTAATTTATCTCCTATTGATGCTTCTTCTACTATTCATAAATCTATCCTTCTTGTTTTACCATGCATATATTTTAACATTTTCATTTCTACAATATCCCATTTTTTGAACATGTTGTTTTTGAATTGCCAAGCATTTCGTAGCGTATAGCATTGCCGGTCTAATGGATGTCTTAAAAAACTTTCCTTTCAACATAAGTTGTATACGCCTATCACATAAAATGCTAGATGCATTCCTCCACTTAGCCCATTATGTTTTAATTTGAATGATTAATATCATCTTCAATCTCTCCCCCACTATGGATAATTGAGTCAAACTACCGAAAATATTCCTCATTGGTATCTCTTGATCTGTGGTCTTTACTGCCTCCTCTTTTGCCTTTCTACTATTGCTAATTCTACATTCCATATTTTTAGTTTTATTTTTACTTATCCTAAATCCTTTTGATTCTAAGGTTTCTCTCCAAACTTCTAATTTATTGTTAATTTCTACGTTACTATCATAAATCAATACTATATCATCCAGAAATAATATACACCATGGAACCTCTTTCTGATTATATCTAGTCAATTGATGCACAATCGAAACAAAGAGGTATGGACTTAGGGTAGAACCCTAATGTAGGGCTACAATGATTGGGAATGCACTACTTTCCCCTTTGGTGGTCCTAACTAAAGGGTGCAGTGACTTCAATGTGATGACACAATGAATGAAAAACTCAATAACCGTATGTCGGCAAATCCTTATAAATAGACAACAACCCCATCATACTATCTTGAAATGCCCTTTGTTAGATCTAGAAGCATCCTTGTGAAGCAATAATGAGACTTATTTTTATTGTTTTGTGAATATCTAAATCTTGATACTCAAGATCTGTTGACAATATCCTAACAATGAAAGATTACAAGGTATAGAAGTACCTAGTGTTTGTTTTATTTATTTGTTTATTTTCTTCCTCCTGCGGCTTAAGTGTTTGATATCTAGAGTCTAAATGCTATGATGCCATTTTATACTGTGGATGTCACTTATGCATTAATACGTTGTGAACAGAATCTGCTCATTCCTACTCTAATGGATAAAGGGACCAAATTTTCTTCGACAACTTTGTCAATGGTTCCAGGCATACCCATCAAGCCAATGCTGGCAAAGTATTGTACAGCAACTACTTCTATATCATTATTTTCTTTTAGGGTTACATATCGGTGCTATATCTTACTGTTCTGTTATTTGTTCCTTGTGATAGAATTACTAATGGAATACCTGAAGTGTTGAAGCTCTTTCAAAATAAAGCTTTTACATGTGAATATAAGTAAGTGTCGTCCTAATTTATTGTTTTCTTTTTCTGAAATTTGTTCCCACTTTGTACATGTTCGAACTAGCTGCTCGTATGCTCTGCAAGGAATTCTTACATTTTATACTAAAATATTTTTGCAGTAATGTGGTGAGATTATGTACTCTCTGGAGATATATCTAATATGTTTTTCCTGAAGCAATGTGCTAGAGGCTTTACTGCCTTCTACATTTAGACGGTGCTGTCTTGGGTATAATATTTGGAGCCAAAAAAAAAAGCTCTAGAATCTATTAAGCTTAACAAAGTTGAGATGTGGATTTCTAGGTAGCCATTTTTTTTTTCTCTGTTTTTGGGTTTCTCTTTTGGTGTCTTTACCTAAGAAGTTTGAAGGTTTTCTTCGCGGTTATTTCCTAAGGGAATGGATTGTGGCCATGGTTCAAAGTACCCACTGAGTTGTATCCAAGTCGGCACCTTTCGATCCGATACTGTTTTTGTTCCACGCATCCCACAATTCTCATGTAACTTGGCCAGTTATTTGAGACATCTCCAAGTCAATGCTGGGTGGTCCGAGTCAGTGTTATCGAATCGGCTGATACTAGTTTATGACTGTGACCTGGCCTAATTACTTGCCACATTTTACTTCTTTTCTTTAGCATTTCATGCATACCATCTAATAACGAGTGTGTCTTGGTACTCTCCAAGCTGATGACAGTTACAGATACCGCGACCTTGAATCATGATTGTGTCTAATAGGATGAGGAGAAAGTTTTTTCCGATTTTTGGGTTTTGTTTGGGAAAGTTTAGATTCATTGGTTATGCCAATGGAAGCCCAAGTTTAAAGAATTGAAAGAGATTGTCTGTTAGCATCTTTTTCTAATCTGATCAGTTTTGGGTTTCCTATAAAAGGTGGGGATCTCGCTTTTCAAAGGAAAGAAAGTCTGAGTTAAATGAATTGTCAAGTTATTGGAGCTTGATACTATGCTCTTATGCATGAGGTTACAGATTTAGCGTCTTTTTTGTATTGAGGATCAAATAGCTTCCTATGGCTAAACAATGCTGTGAGTGCAAAGTGTTGCTGGGCCATTTGTCATGCCAAAAGGCATCGCCAGCAACTCTTAGATTCCCATCGTGCTTCTACTGCATCGATAAACCATATGGGGCCTTTGATGGCTTTAGAGTTAAGAAATCTGGCATGCAGAAACTATGAGGCCCTCCTAGTTACTTTGTTTGACTGAAAAGGCAAACAGTCCACCACAAAAAAAGAAAAAGAAAAAAAGGGAGTCTTTATGGGGTGTTTGTCATAAGCTGCCTTGATAAAAGGAATTGCTTTGAAAAAGGGCAAAACCTATACCTCAGTGGTCTAGTTCCATGGCACCGTAAATATATTAGGGCTTAATTGATTCACTGAAGCGACAAGACCTTGAAATGCTGCGCCTTAATGAAAGACCTTACCTTCATAAAGACTAAAACCGATCTGCTGACCTAAGGTTGACAAAGGTCTCACTGAATAAGACAGTCCACTGGCAATAGATCAAAAAGGATTCTGCATTCAATAATCAAATTCCAGCTTCAAACCTTGTAGTTGGGGTTAGCTTGAGGTGCAAAGGGTTATCAAGTTTTCCATTGCTTTTGATGAAGGAATAGAGTTGCATTTTGAAGGAAGTTGTTTTCTTTCTTTTGTTTGAGTTGGTCTGAGGTGCAAAAGATTTCCAATTCCTTCTGAATTTGTATAGCTGTTTCAGGCTATAGCTAATAAAATCAGATGTTTCTTATTGAAACAAGGAGGTATGCAAGAGAACCTGAACTGCTGATTTTCTTTTCTACAATCTCATTCTAAATAAACACCAAAATGTAAGAATTGCCCCAGGAAAATAAAATTGTTTAATAAGTATCAATGTTGGTGGTTATATTTTACAAAAACCCATATTTTGTGTTATTTGAGATCATTAGTGTTGTAATTTTTCTTGAAAGTTTTTTTGCTTAAAATCCAGCCCTTTTAAGACAGACAATTTTGTTTAATTCTGACCAGGATGTGTCAATTTCAACTGGGTTTTGAATTGAATTAATGTGTATTAATATGAAAAGAAAAAAAAGGAGAAAAACTTGTTTGTAAAGCCATAAACTTTTTTCAAGGTATAATGTAATGTTGGACTTATCAGCACGAAAAAGGGTTATAATGCAACAATGGAACAGATTTATGCCTAGTACTCTCTGGATTATTGTGTGACACCTGTTCGTTCAGATATGATGGTCAGCGAGCTCAAATTCACAGATTAGCTGATGGATCTTTCCATATCTTTTCACGAAATGGCGATGAAACAACATCCAGATTTCCAGATTTGGTCAACATAATTAAGGAATCATGTACTCCAGCCTCTGTAACTTTCATACTGGATGCTGAGGTATTACTTTTTTACGGTCATGATTTCTTGGAGATTGATTAGATTTGCTGATTACTTAGGTCACTAAGGTGTTAAACAGTTACCACTGAGTTGCATTGTTGAATTTCGTTAATTTGTTTTGTTACTACTGTTTACTAAGAAGCACGGACTGGGATACGACACGATACGGACACGCTGATACAAATTTTTTTTAAAAAGTAGGATATGGACATGTTGGCGATACGTTAAATAATATGTATTTATATATATAACAGCATGTGAAAAAATAAAAATATTATTATAATAATCTTTTAATTCATCATTTCTCTAATTCTAAAAATTCATATCATGATATCACTGTATAAAAAGTACAATATAAGATACACCGCTACACATTCAACATTAACATCCATGATCCAACAATGAATGACTTCTACAACTTTTATTTTAAAAAATATTCCACTTTGTAACATTAATTTTTATCAATTTCCATGAGTCCCATTTTGTAATCCCATTTTTTTTTACATTATTTTCACATTAAAAGTTTATTTCATTTGTATATAAGTTCGTATTTGTATCCAAAATTATGTTAAATGCATGTCCTATGTTTATTATAATGATTATAACTTTATTTATATTATGATTATGATTCATATCCCTTAAAGTTATAAAAATAACTCTTAATTATAAAATTATTAGAAAAGTTCTCAAAAAATTGAAAATAAATCTCAAAACATGTCCCCAACGTGATGGCCGCAACATGTCCCCTACGTGTCCCGAGTGTGTCTGCCATATGTCCCCAATGTGTCCTAAAAAAAATTTAAATAAAAAAATTGGACACTCACTTTAACGTGTCCGATATGTGTCCAAGCGTGTTCGTGTCTCAGATGTGTTCGACATTGACAATCTGCCCAAAATGAAGTGTTCGTGCTTCCTAGTTGGCTCACATGTAAGCATATTATTCTGGTTTTAGGTAGTTGCAGTTGATAGGAAGAACTACTGCAAGCTTATGTCTTTCCAAGAATTATCTACGCGAGAGAGAGGAAGTAAAGATTCCTCAATTGCAGTAGACACCATAAAGGTCTGATATCAAACTTTATTTTGTTTTTTGTTTCATGTGTAATGCATTTAGTCCGATTTCAACGTATCTTAAATCAGCTCAACTCACTGAACCTTAATCTCAACTACTTGGTTTCAGCTATGTGAATTTGTCTTTGCCCTTCAGCTCTTAGTAAAGCCATCTCTTTGTCAATCCCGGATAGCTATATTCTTTCAATATATGCGCATTTTTGCCTCTGGATAGTTTCTAGTAACCTTTTGAAAATACAAACAATTGTGTTACACTGAATTAGAGGAGAGTTGGTTATTTGGGTCTGTCAAGTAGTCCTCCTAGTTCATGATATTTATTTATTCTCGTATATTTTTGTGGACTTTACTTCTAGGAAATAACATTAGAAAGAATGAGATTTTTAATTGGAAAAATTTGCCAAAAAAACTCAACTGGAGCAAAAAAAAAAAAAATCAATGCTCTAAGAGGGACAGAATTTCCTCGAAGAAATGCATATGCAAGATCAAGTAGAACTTGTCAAAAATTTATTTTAACTGAGCAAATAAAAGAAATTCTAATCAAAGTTCTTTATAATGTATTTAATAAATTGTATTAGTAATATGGTAAAAGTATGCCATTAGAGCTAAAGGAAAGGGGTGTTGTTAGCATATGAAGTTCTTAAACAGCTTATGAACAGCTCCTTCTTTGAGATATTGTGCACCTTGATTAGAACATCAAGGTGGCCTAAAAAATGAACGTATTTATGCCTCTTTCTTCTGGAGATTGGAGTCTTGGGTGACCCATTCTCCCTATTTGATTACACCTGAGCTATACCTTCTCTGAAATGCTATGGATGTCAAGATGGATGTTTGTTAATATCACCACAAGTGAACCAAGTGTTTTAATGGTGTGCTCATGTTTGCATAATTTAAAAGAGAGTAAATCTCTGCTGTCATACATATTCTATTGACTCCAATTCTGAAAAAATCAAAGTTTTACAAATTTTTTATGAGCCAGGAATAACTTGGGCTAATAATGTTGGGTGTGAGAGAAGCAAGAAAATCCATTGATCCACTCCTACTGATAGAAAAGAATAATTGTAGAAAGTGCTAGAGGTGGAAAGGCAGATAAAAGTATTATTGGACATCTTATTTATTCTATGGCTTGCATCAGATCAAATCTAGTATTCTCACAGTTGAAGGGGTTTGCCAAAACCAATCTCCGGCCTGATTAGGGTTCCAGTCATTTCCCAATGTGAAATACACAATTTTTTTTGTCAAGGAAGACATCTTTTAATAGAAAAACATGCTTGCAAGACTGGCTTCCAAGCTCATGATTCATACATGCCGGAGACAGTTTGAATCTGTTTTGCTTTTGAGCCTGTCTCTCACTGTTTGTTGGTAAATAGGCTTAATAGATGCTGTGTGTGATATTGCCATATTAGGCTCATAAATCCAGACTTGATTCTTCGTATGGGAAGGATAAGTTGAGATTTTTTAGGATCTCACAATATCAGGAGAACTGGTAGTCAATTCAGAAGATTGAAAATACATAGATTTATCACCCTCAGAAGTTGATCGTGAAGTGAAATGATTGGTGTTTNATGCAAGATCAAGTAGAACTTGTCAAAAATTTATTTTAACTGAGCAAATAAAAGAAATTCTAATCAAAGTTCTTTATAATGTATTTAATAAATTGTATTAGTAATATGGTAAAAGTATGCCATTAGAGCTAAAGGAAAGGGGTGTTGTTAGCATATGAAGTTCTTAAACAGCTTATGAACAGCTCCTTCTTTGAGATATTGTGCACCTTGATTAGAACATCAAGGTGGCCTAAAAAATGAACGTATTTATGCCTCTTTCTTCTGGAGATTGGAGTCTTGGGTGACCCATTCTCCCTATTTGATTACACCTGAGCTATACCTTCTCTGAAATGCTATGGATGTCAAGATGGATGTTTGTTAATATCACCACAAGTGAACCAAGTGTTTTAATGGTGTGCTCATGTTTGCATAATTTAAAAGAGAGTAAATCTCTGCTGTCATACATATTCTATTGACTCCAATTCTGAAAAAATCAAAGTTTTACAAATTTTTTATGAGCCAGGAATAACTTGGGCTAATAATGTTGGGTGTGAGAGAAGCAAGAAAATCCATTGATCCACTCCTACTGATAGAAAAGAATAATTGTAGAAAGTGCTAGAGGTGGAAAGGCAGATAAAAGTATTATTGGACATCTTATTTATTCTATGGCTTGCATCAGATCAAATCTAGTATTCTCACAGTTGAAGGGGTTTGCCAAAACCAATCTCCGGCCTGATTAGGGTTCCAGTCATTTCCCAATGTGAAATACACAATTTTTTTTGTCAAGGAAGACATCTTTTAATAGAAAAACATGCTTGCAAGACTGGCTTCCAAGCTCATGATTCATACATGCCGGAGACAGTTTGAATCTGTTTTGCTTTTGAGCCTGTCTCTCACTGTTTGTTGGTAAATAGGCTTAATAGATGCTGTGTGTGATATTGCCATATTAGGCTCATAAATCCAGACTTGATTCTTCGTATGGGAAGGATAAGTTGAGATTTTTTAGGATCTCACAATATCAGGAGAACTGGTAGTCAATTCAGAAGATTGAAAATACATAGATTTATCACCCTCAGAAGTTGATCGTGAAGTGAAATGATTGGTGTTTTGAGTGGTTCTTATACCTTTCCTCTGGGTCCTGGATAACTACTGAGTTTTCAAGTAAATTTTAAAATTGTTACGAGAGCCTGGAGTTCGATTTTTTTTTTTGGTTCCTTCTGTCTGCTTAGTAGGTGAGATCCATGTAACAAGTCGTGGACTTCTTTTAGAAAGACAAAACATGGGACTTGGATTCAGCTCGATTGTAAGCCTCAGTTACTTCATGTCTGTTAGTTCCTTTCAAACACCATGCCTTTCTAACTTTGCAATGTGGTTTCTGTTACCTCTTACTGTAATGGAAATTTTTCCAATTGGTTGTTTTCATATTTGTTTGTTCTTCCCTCCTTGCTTGATTTTCTGGACATTTCCTGATATCTTTTCTCCATGCAGGTTGACATATGTATCTTTGTCTTTGATATCATGTTTGCGAACGGAAAGCAGTAATCATCTTGAACCTCTTCTTGGAATACATTATAGTATAGTAGTCGTGTTGTATAATATGTCCCATTTTTTTGATAGTTATTTAACACTTAAAACAAGAGATGCCCAAAAAACAAAAAAGAGGAAAGAAAGAGAAATGGAAAGAAAAAGGCAGCAGGAGGAAATAATGGACATCAGACCTTCCATTTCATCACATTAAACCAAAATCCTTTTTTCATTGCAACAAGCAAGCAACATGAAATTCATACAAAATTGCAATAGCACAATTCTTGTCCAAATCCCCCCCCCCCTTTTCCCCCACCAAAAACAAACATCAACATTCGAAAAAAAAAATCAGATGCAAGAATAAAGGGGCCTTTTGTGCTTTCTGGTAGAGTTCTAATATGATACAGTTTTTAAAAATGCCTTTTCACATTCACATATGAACATTTAAAAAGAAGAATGGACAGTAGACCCTATAGTTACAAGAGCTCCCAAACATATACTAGCCAACAGCAAACCAAAATTAGCATAAAAGGTTAGTTCCACGACTCGAAAACATGAACTTTGCACAAAACACAAGTACCAGCACAAGCATTTTTCTACCAAAGCATTAGATGCATGAACAATGTGAGGAATTGGTATCAAGAGAAAACCATTATACATTTCATGCAATAGGGAAAGAAACAGTAGATAATCCTTGAACACGAAAAAGGGAGGGAAAGCAAGAAGGATAAGCCAGAAGAAGAGGAGAGAGGCATCGCACATGAGGAAGTACTCAGTGGCAGCAAGGCTGTGGTTGACATTGGCCGCAAGAGGACAAACGTCATTTTGCCCCTCTCTCTCTCTCTCTCTCTCTCTCTCTCTCTCTCTCTCTCACACACACACACACACACACATATACACATGCACGCACGGGACCCTATTTTGCTTAAAAAAAGTGGCAAAGATCTTTTAGGTTGTTATCATGCCAAAATAATTCCCTGGTGGTGCTATGTTGTAAGATCATGGGGGAAAAACCAGCAACTGAACTAATGTTTTCTTAATAAGGGACTGAACAAGTGTTGGACAAGTGTTATGCAGATGTAACTATATTGGGGTAACCCAAGCATACAGTAAGTCAGTAACCAATCTTCTTATCCTGCCCTAGAGGTATGACCCGCATGTGCTGGAATAAGTTTTTCATGTGCTTTTCATCATTGTCACTTTAGTTTCTGCCAGTTGATGGTCTCAAATAAGCATGTCCAACATATGGTCTTTTCCCATCGTGCTTCTTGCATATGTTAAAGTTATGCTTAGTTGACAGTAGTCTTAATCAATATTCTTGGTCAAGAGGTTGCCAACCGTATTTTAATGTTTTTTGGGGTGCTTTTTTTTTCTGGTTCACCATTTGTATGCCTGTACCATGTGATCAATCATACTTGCCAAAATAATTTGGTTTTCAAGGAGGCTGTGTCTTGCTTCCCTTTTGTCACCTTCTCTTTTATAGGTTTGTATTTTGTTAGCCAAGGAGTATGTGCACTGAATGATTTGAAAATAATCTGAAAAAGTTCAAGAACCGTAACAAAATTCTTGATTACAGGTTGTTGGGTTTTCCTTTCCGCCAAAGACGAAAATGTATGCATATCCCTCTCTGCCGATAGGAAGTCTTTTTCCATTCCTCTGGGAAATTCCTTTTATGTGCAAAAATTATTCCCCCTGACCTTGAATTCCTTCTGTCTTGTGTGCCTGAAAATCTCAGATCTGAAGGATTTGTTTGGTGATGAGAAGTTGGGTTATTTCGAGTATGCGAGGGAAATAACAGTAAGTGCTCTGCTATTTGCATATTCCAATGCTGATCAGTGTTGTTAGTGTTAGAGTATTTTAGTATTAGGGGTAGTTTAGTCCTTTTATCCTTTATTTGTTTTGCCCTACTATAAAGGCTTGTTATTATGCATCTTTTATCTTACGTTGTAACAGACTATTAAGCTGTAATGTATTCTCTCTTTTCATTCTCTTCTCCCTCGTAATCAATGTTTTCATGCTATCAGAGCGAATTTCAATNAAAAAAGTGGCAAAGATCTTTTAGGTTGTTATCATGCCAAAATAATTCCCTGGTGGTGCTATGTTGTAAGATCATGGGGGAAAAACCAGCAACTGAACTAATGTTTTCTTA